ATTAGTACGTAATGTAATGTATTCGGCTGGAATTCGAACTCGGCTTTCCGATTCCACAATCTGAGCCACTATCCATTACTCCAGAATTGATTAAGAACACCAAAGAACAAGAAATTGTGGAGAGCCATGGTCGCCTACGTCCTTAAAGGACACGGGACATAAAGAAGAAGAAGAAGAAGAAGAAGAAGAAGAAGAAGAAGAAGAGACATCAAGCACTAAGTCAAGTCAAGTCTTTGTCATTTGATATTTTAAACTGGATGTTTCCATATTCATAACGGTTCGGCCGTTGTACGCTCCGACCTTCTTCAGGTGATTGGAATTTCAAACCGAACTCTTTATTTCGCCCACCCGGGGTATACTGTTTTAGTTCCGCGTGCCATGCTGTTTCTGAATATCTTGGTTTCAGTTATTTCTCTTTAGAAACACTGATGCCCCCATGACCTACTGTATAAAAGCGTTGGTTGAAGTAATCAAGTGACTTGACCCAAAAATTTGTGAGTTCAATACCAGGCCACAGCAGAGGTGAACAAAAAAATTGGAGAGTTGAGTTACTAAAGGGAAATAACTGAAACTGAGATAACCGGAAAAGTCATGGCACGTGGAACTAGAACAATCTACCCAGGGTGGACAAAATAAAGGGTTCGGTTAGAAATTCCAACGTATATCATCTGAGGAAGCGTACAATAAACAATCAATCAATATGACAATAAAATGAGGACAACAGTCTGAACAATGTAAATAGTGTAAATAGTTACAATACCTCATCTCAGAAATATAGACAGATCCTGAAGAAGGCCAGAGCGTACAACGGCCGAAACGTTATGAATGTGAAATAAAGATGAGGACAACAGTCCAAACAATGTAAATAGTTTAAATAGTTACTAACAGTAATTGTGTGAAGATGAATGCAACGAATTCAAATGGAATTTGAACTCAGCACGTCAAATCTACTTCCCACGTAGTCACAGTCGCCATAGGATTAAAAAAAAGCCTTTGTCTTGCAAAATACTGATAATGTCTGTTGTTGATAATGATATACATATATGTATATATTGTTATGTCTATGTATGCACCCGGACGTCTAGGCACATTGAAGAGCTGTGATACAGCGAAACAGTCTGTCTGTTGATAACAATATATATTAGTTTTTGGTCCCAGCATTTTCCCATATTGTTGTGGTACGATCCACCTAATTTACATAGTGGAGTACCGACCATATAAATATGGGTTGGTACCGGGAAGACGAGGGAAGAAGTAAGAAGAGATCCCAATCGAGAGACTCTGCCGAACTGCGATTAAGTCAACCCATTCTACAGGAACAGTCTTCCCAAGAATATACCAAAACTAACTGTAAATATTGTGTACCTTTTCCTTGTTTCAATACATTTTGTTTACGTACATTTTGTGTTGTATTATTATTATTCCATGCTTATCCAAGCTTCAACACATATGTTGGGAGTAGAGGAGTGCAAAAAATTGTACGAATTGTCCCAAGCGCTGTCTCCCCTTTAGCCATTTTCAAGAGGGTTTTAGGGGGGGGGAGTTGTTAATTTCTCTTCATGTCTGACTGCATAAGATGTGTTGCTTTGAATACTAGTAGGAGCGTTTATTCCGAGATTTGCGTGTTGAGCGCGTCTGGAATTCAAGAGGGGATCTTTCTATTATTTTAAAAGAAACTTTCAACATCCTATTGCCTCTTCTGAAGAAGATGAGGTTGATAGTAGGAGAGAGATGTTTTACATACATGACATCTCTCAAGGCAAGATGTCTCCGATGATTTGATTTATATAGAATTTTTGTTTTAAAAACATAGCCATGTACATAATATTAGACATATATTAGTTGATAACAAAATAATACTCACACATACACACAGTAAAAAGATCCTTCAGATATTGGAGGCTATCTATATTAAAACAAAGCAACGCACATTCAACAAAATTACATTTCAAACTAGTTGCAACACATTACATTGCATTTATGCATTCGTTCTGTTGTAATACTTCGGTCTATCGCGAGGTATGACGTCATAGATCGCATTTAGATTTTACGATTTGCGTCTCCTATTCCGTGGCCGTTATCATCGCATAGTAATCTTCTATGTCAACATAACAGGACATAATCTTCGATGGTGAATATCATTGTTAAAATGTCCGGATAACCACTCTGAAGATGTTTCATGTGAGCCGAAATCTTAGATCAAGGACCAACTTAATAAAAAATATATCCAAATGTTGGGCAATTTTTATCTTTATTTTCACCCTAAATTAAAGCAAACATACGAACTTTAGAACAGCTCGTGATCAGGCATAATAGACATTCATTGTCTGATTATATATATATATATATATATAAATTATTTATTTAAAAATATGATTCCAAATCGCGACATAAGACCCCATGTTTTTCAAAACAAGGCATCTTAATTATTTTAAAAATTGAAAAATAAGCTTTTCCATCTTCAAATTTTTTGGAATTTGAAGATGGAACAGAGCTTATTTTAACTCAATTTAATTTAAAATAATTATATTGAAGTTTTTTATTCTTGTTTTGAAACATGGACTTCTTATGTCGCGATTTGGAATCATATTTTTAAATAAATAATTATATTTATGCTCTACTTTTGTATCGAGCACTATTTTTAAAAATAATAACTAAAATACTAAGGGATTTTTTACCTAACCAGTTCCTTCCTATTTTCTATATATTTTTCACATATATATATATATATATATATATATATATATATATATTTATTAATCCGACAGATTTTTATCAATTTAAACATTACTTTTAGTGCATATCCATATTTGAGTAGACGCTCCGTATCTTTATTAAACCGTACATTTTATTTTCATTTACCGGCCTGAATATTTGAGAAATATTATTAAAGAACAGGAATAACTGTCAGTCGTACTTTAACTAGCATGGTGATTATATATATATATATATATATATATATATATATAGAGAGAGAGAGAGAGAGAGAGAGGTAGAGAGAATTAATGCAAATAGTAGGGTTGTCACTTAGCTGATTGATGTTACCTTCAGTATCTCGACTCCAGAGTTTCGTAGACGGACCCTCTGCGAATCACTCCGTCCACTCCTCAAGGAGTATCACCAATTATATGCCGATAGAAAGAAACTTCCTTTGAGCGTTGGTAAAGAAAAATTTCCTGTTGTCTTTATATATATATATATATATATATGTGTGTGTGTGTGTGTGTGTGTGTGTGTGTGTGTGTGTGTGTGTGTGTGTGTGTATCAAAATTTCAGATAGAGTATATCTGTAAAAGGACAATATGAATAAAGACAAAAAGAAGACATTTTAGCAGACGCGTTTCGTCCTCTGAGGGTTTTATCAAAGGCAAAACGTGTCGACTAAGATAAGTCTTCCTTTGGACTTATTCGGGGCTTTTAGCTTCTATTTTTGAAACATGGTTAGAACTGTGTAGAGAATAAAACCATATTTTAAATCAATTAATTTATAATATTAATGCTCTGTAAATTTACATTGAGCACTATTTTGTAAAAATAAAAATATCTATAAGAACACCGGATTATATATCTTACTCTTCTTTCTTTTTATTTATATATATATATATATATATATATATATATATATTTAGTGTTTCGCCCCAAGCAAGGCGGGAAGCCACTAGGACGCAAGGGGTTACAGAAAATTTGGAGCAAGATCAGATAGGACTGATAGAGGAAAGGATGAGGAGAAGAATAGTGGATAGATCAAGACAACTGGAGATGTCGATTGACATTACATTTGAATAGTGGGAGATTATAGCTCTCAGGGAAACAGGAATAGGGAAGGGAGTTCCACAGGCAAGAGGTGCGAGATATGAAGCTATTGGATTAGAAGAGACGGCTACATTTAATTGTTTCAACAGTGAATGGGTGAGATCGGGATGCCAGCCTCGTAAGGCGCTTGACTTCATGAAGTCTGGGAACCAGCGAATGCAGCTCCTCGGAGCAATTGCCATGAAAGTATTTGTAAAAAAAGACAGAGAGAGGCGACGGCGCGTCTATGAGAGAACGACTGTAGACGAGATGCCAGATCAGGGCTATTTATATTGAATATCCGCCTCTGGATCTTATCAAGAACCCCGAGGCAAACAGAAGGGGCTCCAGACCATATATGGCAGCAATACTCCATGCAAGGGCGAATTGTTGATTTGTAGATCTGAAGGATCGATTCCGGGGAGAAAAATTTCCTGGCGATATATATATATATATATATATATATATATATATATATATATATATATATATATATATATATACCAGAATAAACCAAATAACCGATAAAGTATCGAAGAACTACCTAACCAATAGCAAGTCTGCCAAATTAGAAAGCTTGAAAAAACGAAAACAGCAAAAATAAGAAAAATATAGATAAAATGTAATAGATTTTGACTTCTTAATATTAACGTAAACAGGTACACATACAAGGTAGATTTGGGACAACACAATCTTCCTACGTCAGTTTCTCTTTCAATTTTGTACTGCCTGAAACTGATGTTTTTCTTCTGAGTGCTGCATTATTGTGACCTTATGCCAGACAAAGCTACAATTTGTATACAAAGATACATTTGCGTTTTGCTTTGGGTCACTGTTTACTGAGATCGTCCAGCAAGCAACAATACTATGTGTTGTGGTTTGTGTCCTTGTGCCAGACACAAACGAACTAAGTTTATGCCGATACAATAGGTGTTAGCGACATGCATTTTACAGCAAAACAAATTCTACTTTACACACTTTTACTCGTGTTAATATCGTTATGTAATCTTGAAACCTTTTTTTTTCTTTTTTCATTCGACGTTTGCATCAATATTCAGCCTCGTTTCTTTCAGACACGCTTTGTTGCCAATCTGTTTAACGCGTCCGTTCACCTAACACGTATTGCCGGCACTAACAACGAGGCTTAGCGGAAGAACGACATTTCTTTTCTTTTTCTTCCTCTACACGCCAGAGAGCGACCGATTATTTTAACACGGTTTTTCCACCATTGTCTTCCCTTTTCTTTCTCGACTTAACACTCGCAAGCCTATCTCAATAAACGCAAAATTAATTGAAGCGAGAAATGATTTTAATTTAAATCCTCCGTTCATGTTATAAGGCTTTCGATTTCTGATCGATATAATCGCGCCGCTTCTTTGAAGACGATGAGGTGAGAGAATCAGAGGAAGGAAACATGATGCGATTGTGTGCAAGGGACGGGTGGTATTTCTGCGAGAGAGACAGTCGATTTGAAAAGGTAAAAACACGATATTATGAAAGAAATAAAACGGGGGAACAAGAAAATCGAGTAGAAAAAAGGAGTGACTGGAGACACGAGTGAGTGGGGGAGAGAAAAGAGAAGAGAAAGAAAAAAACAAATAACTTGCCTCATAGCTGAGATAGTTGCAAATATTGCACAATTGCCAGTGGTTTAGTGGTCGATCTCGTGTCAAAAAGACAGAATTTAGAATGGAGACTTTCTCAACAGTTGTGCACTTCATATTTATAAGACTGTCGAAACAATCTTCCTCGCTTCATTTTATTCTATGAAAGGCCTGTTGAATTAAACATTCTGAAAGGCCATATTGAGCGTAATAAATTAGCTTCGGGCCACAAGATTAAGTTTTTAGTGTACATTACTGCGTACGAGTAAGATATGAAAATTATATATATATATATATATATATATATATATATAATATATATATATATATATGCAGAAAATAAAATAGAAAAGAAGACGTTGGGTGCATAATCTGGAGTTCCTTAGTATTTTTGTTTTTATTTTTAAGAAGACAGTGCTCCATACAGAAGTAGAGCTTATATTATAATATTTTTTTTTTGTTTAAAAATATGATTCCTTCGCGACATAAGAGATCTCATGTTTCAAAAACGAGAGCCGAAACCATCCAAATAATTACTAAAATTAAGTTGAATTAAGGTGTTTTGTCCCGTTTCATCTTCAAGCGAAATTTTAGGAATAAGCTATCTCTTGGTTTACGTGTGTTTTTAAGTATGGTTCGTTATAATTCGTTATTGTGGGAGTGGCTAGGCGAGTCATCTTAGTTAAGTGGTCAGAGAGTTAATTTTTATCTATAGATTCATCATCTTCTGAGAGCTTTTGCTCAGGTTGGGTAGGGTATCGATTTCAGGGCTAATGTTGGTGGTCATCCTCTAGTTAGTTCCCAGTGAGTCGTTATGTGTCAGGAGGATTTTGTTTTATTATTGTCTATTTGATTATCTCTTTATTTATTTGTTTATTTTGTTTATTCAAGTGGGTGTTTTATATACAAACCGTATTGCACTGAATTTCAATTTGTTTTTTACTACTACAGAAAGGGTTTTTCCTATTTAATGATTTGGTTAAGATTTTAAGACTTTTATTAAACTATGAGATTTTTTTATGCTACTTATTTAATGCGAAAATTTGTTGATGTCGGCAAAAACCGTTAACTCCTGCCTATGGTTTAATAATTTTTCATTATTTAGAAACTTAATGATATGTAGTTTTTCGTGTAGGCATAAAGGACATGGGTCATCCCAGGTTTTACAAGATCTTGTTCTATTTACTATTTTCCATTTTACTTTTGGTGTTTTTTTATTATATTATATATATATATATATATATATATATATATTTTTATATATATATATATATATATATATATATATATATTTATATATTTATATATATATATATATATATATATATATATATATATATTTATCATCATATATATATATATATATATATATATATATATATGATAAAATATATATATATATATATATATATATATATTTTTATCATTTTAAATATATATTATATTTATATAATATATAAGTTTTATATATATATATATATATATATATATATATATTTTATATATAGATATAAATATATATATATATTTTATCTATATATATATATATATATATATATATATATATATATATATATATTATATATATTTATGAATGAAAGTGCTCGATGTCAGAAGAGAGAGATATATATATATATATATATATATATATATATAGAGAGAGAGAGAAGAGAAGGAGAGCGAGTGAGAGAAGGAAGACGAAAAAATTCTTTCTTTTTCTTTTTTGACGGAGAGCTTCTTCCCAAGAACTGCTGCTTTGTGGAACAGACTCCTGGCTGCATGTTTTACCAATAACTATAATCTTGACCTCTTCATACCGGGGGTTAACCGTTATCTTTCCTACGTCAGCGCATGAGCTGTACTTTTCTTGCCTTTCCTTATACTCATACAACACAAGATAGAAACCCTCTACCTCGAATGGCTCTTGGGTCTTGTATCGGGTGAATATTAGTATAAAAATTAGTTAAAAAGATTAATTAGATACAAAGACAGTGAAATACTGGTTGATTCGACCCGATTTTTGCATGCGATCGGTCGCAGTATTTATTCTGATGAACACAAAAAACGACTACAGAGCAACCTCGGTTCTCGAACGTCTCACATGTCGCACAAATCGATTTTCGAACAGAATATTCGAGATAAAAATTCCTCGGTTATCAAACAAAATTTTGGTTCTCGAACAACATTGCTGAACCGAGTTAACCTGAACGGAATCATTTCTGAGTCGACCGCCATGTTGTATACATTCGTGTGTTGTGCTGTACTTTTCTTTTCCAATTTTATTGTACTGTGACTTTTTACTCTCTTTATTAGTCATTAGTCATGGCTCCAAAGAAAACTAGCAGTGATATTGGTAAAGGAAAAAGAAAAGTTAAGAGAAAAACAATGGTTGATGATATTGTCACTTCCCACTCAGTTTCATATGGCAAAATCAACGATCTATACTATTCTTCTAAATAAAGAGACGATCAATATATTCTCTTCCCCTTTCGAATTAATAACATCTCTTTCCTTCCTCCTTCCACTTGCACCATCAAATCTCCCACTTACAGGTAAGGTAAAATTAATATGTTCGTCTATATATTATCTGTTTAATATTAGGTTTATTTCTTTATTTCTTGGATTTAATGATTTTCATTTGTTTTGTGTATAAACTTGTGCACAAAGTACTATTGTAAAAGTTTAAATAAACAATCATCTTGGGACCAGGAACGGATTAATACATTTTAAATTGATTCCTATTGGAAAAATAGTTTCAGTTTACGAACATCTCGGGTTACGAACGGGCTTAAGGAACGAATTAAATTCGTAAACCAAGATTCCACGGTATTTTGAAAATACCTCACGGGCCACCCGGATAGTCTTGTGAGCAACATTTTATACAGGACTGTACTATTGGGAGTTGCGCCATATAAAACTAAGCCGAAAATCGAAAAAGAGAGAGTGCGAAGAAAGAAAGAGACATGCAAATAAAGGAATGTATTGAAAGAGAGAGGTAAAAACTCGAGATGATAAAAACTAGAAAGGGAGGAGAGATTGGAGGAAAGAGAGAATGGTGACGGCAGAAAGAGAAATACAAGCTAAAGAAGGGGAAGACAAAAGAAATGACAGAAAACAGAGAAGAGGTTGTAGTTCTAGTAGGATGAGGAAGATGGGATTCGTTTTGAAGGTAAAGCGTAGAGAAAGAGACAAATTATATCCGGGTTTCTCTTATATATGCATTAACACAGGCTCTAATTTGGGACCAGAGAAAATCTCTCTTATATCCGGGTTATACTGTACTTGTTTGCATACGAGAAAAATATAATAAAAATATAACAAACCTATCTTGTCAGTCATGTTTAATAAACCAATTAAAAGCCGATTTCTGTCGAAATAAGCACACACACACACACACACACATATATATATATATATATATATATATATATATATATATATATATATATATATGATAAAATATAGTTTTAAAGCATGCTATGTTTATGGCCAAAAGTGCTCAATGTAAGCATAAAACTGTACACTGATGTTAACACCGAATGGAGTCTGTTTCATGCTTCATAGTTAACTTTATTTTGGACTTTAATTCTCTTATATAAAGGACTTTAAATAGCTTTAGATTTTGCTTATTATTGTTTTATGTAATATGGATGTGGTTTCAACTAATATTCATCTCATCTGTGAGTATGTGCATGAGTGTTCCTTCAAATGCTGAATTATTGAACTATGCTCAGCCAAATAAAATGTATGCCTTTTTGTTAGCATCGTCGTAGTAAAGCCAACATACGTATTGACATTTGTACCAGAGATAAAATCTCCTAAAGAACATTTAAATTGTTATATAATGTTTGTCTTTTTCAAAATGCTAGTTGGCGGAGAAGAATTGTTTTGGTCAACTAGGTTAGTTGTATTAAATTTAGTATAGTATATAAATAATTTTATTTTTTACTTGGATCAGTGTGGGATGTACACTTTTATGCTTACACAAGCTCTACACCTGGTATTGAGCACTTTTGGCCATAAACATAGCACGCTTTAAAACTATATTTTATCATATATATGTGTGTGTGTGTGTGTGCTTATTTCGACAGAAATCGGCTTTTAATTGGTTTATTAAACATGACTGACAAGATAGGTTTGTTATATTTTTATTATATTTTTCTCGTATGCAAACAAGTACAGTGTAACCCGGATATAAGAGAGATTTTCTCTGGTCCCAAATTAGAGCCTGTGTTAATGCATATATAAGAGAAACCCGGATATAAGAGACTTCTTCTTCGGTCCCGACAACTCTCTTATATCCGGGTTACACTGCATTTTCTTTTCTCAACTTAAAGAATGTAGAATGAATGCAAACATTTTTGACCAACTACATAGTGTTTATGAGTCTTTTAGAATTTTTTCGTCTTGTTTATAGATGGAATGTATTTGATTATGATATAGTAATTTGATATGTTTAGACTTATTTGATGGTATATTGTATTCATTTTTATTTATATTTATATTCCTACTAACTTATCTAATTTGTTCATCAACAATATAATTAGGGAAGTCATTATTAATGAGGATTTGTTTAATATTGTTTAGTTTAGTGTAGAAATTTTTTTGTTAAAGAATTTTATCTTGTACCGTTTATTATGTTTCATATAATAGCTATTTTGTAATAGGCAGGAAATTCACTTTTATAGTTGAGAGTACACGTGTTTATACTAGTTGGTTTTATAAGGAGAGGTGGTCATTGTATTATTATTCTTACTGTCTATCAATACACCGATGAACAGGATGTTTTTTTCTTCTTAAGTTCATATGTGAACTTAAGTATAGTGTCTTAAGTTTTCTTCGAGTTCATGTAGTTTATCTATGTCTTTGACTAAAATGAGAGTGCCACCTACATATCTTCGGTAAATGGAGAGTTTTTGTGATATTAAGTACATTATTTTCTAAATTAGTCATGTCAAAATTGCTAAATGTTGGCCCTAGGATGGAATCCATAGAGACACCATCGCATTGCGCGTATATGCTATTTTTGTGGAACTTCTGTGGTGCACACCAAGAGTAGTGTTTTTTTTTTTTAAATATTAAGTCGAATTTTTAATGGAGGGAGAGATGAATTGTTGTAGATATTGTTTATGATTATATCTATCATTTCCGTGACTGGAAAACGACATGATATGTCTAAATTATTTAACCAAACTTGTTTGAATGAAAATATGCTGCCTATATATATATATATATATATATATAGTTTATGAAAAGCTAGGCAATCCGTGTGGGTAAACCTAAGGAGGATAAAATCCAGAGAGCTCAATGTAAATTCAGAGCAAATAATTTAAATAAAACAGACCACTTTAGGTTCCATAATAAATTATTTCACCACAGTCCTTTTAAAAGGGCTGTGTTGAAATAATTTATTACATGGAACCTAAAGTGGTCTGTTTTATTTTATTTATAATATATATATATATATATATATATATATATATATATATATATATATATATATATATGAAATAACGATATGTATTTTTATATACCAAGAACAATATTGGGGAAATTTTATAACAAAGTGGATTTCGTCCTTCAGGACTTCATTGGACTAATTTTGTTATGTTGGGAGGACTATACATGCACACGGATGTTGGGAAGTTTAGAATTTTTTAATTCTATCTCAACTCAACATAAAAGTCTTTACTACTACACCCCAAACAATAAAATAGTTAGTCTAGACATATACTAGACAAAACAATAAGCTAAAACCTGAAGGAGGAGTTTACCCCATCGCCTGTAATAATTGTCACAAAAAATACATAGGGGAAACCTCAAGGAATCTAAATAAAATGATATGAACACAAAAGGGACATTTTATGCAATAATACATCAAATGCATTAGTTTCCCATCGTAACGAGACTGACCACAACTTTGACATAAATCCCAACCGAACCCTCTATATATGATCAAAGGAGAAAATAATTCACTACGACGTAAATGTCTAGAGAGTGCTTTAATCACAAGGTCATCTACTGTAAATTTTCGCTCTGGCTCTTACAACATTTCACCATTCCTAGCAGATCTTCTAATATGACAGTGTGGGATAACTATTTACAAAAGTTATGGAAAGAAAAAGGAAAAGGCTCTAAATGAATTCGATTGAAAGAAAAAAAAACTAAAATATATATAAAAATTGTAAATACATACATATATATGTGCGTGTGTGAATAAAGACAAAGGGAACACTTATCTTTATTCATGTTGTTCCTTTACAGATTTTTGACACACACAATATATATATATATATATATATATATATATATGTGTGTGTGTGTGTGTGGAGAGAGAGATGCCTTTCTATGTGGGTTCATAGGCAAGATTTATTTTAGTTGTTTCCCCATTCCGTTTCAGTCGTTCTATCCTCCGGCCCTCATCAGGTACCTGTCGCACACAGTAAACTTCTAGGAATGATAAACAGAACACTTTATTCAATCCACATGGATAGATTGTTCGCATTGCATTCTTCCATCCTTAGGGGAGAAACTCATATTTGTCACATCTTTCGAGTCCATCCGAATACACAGTGAATGTGATATAATCTTTATCGTATCGCTTACTCGAGTAAAGAAAACTACAGAGATAAGATTCGGTTTCACAGTGGAGTTTATGATCGATTTGGCGGTTACATATGGTAAGATGATAGTGTTTAGTATTGTCATTAATTGCTATGAGATAAGATAGGTTGAAAGAAGCGATGGGTTTACGATATTAATACAAGTCTATCCAGTTGGTAAAGAAATTTAATCATCTGAGATACTAGTTTCGAATTGTATTTGTAATAGTTTATAAATAATACATGCGTCCACACACTCCCTCTTTCTCTCTCATATATATATATATATATATATATTTCGTGTATTTAGGCAGCATTCTTTCATTCATACATGTTTCATTAAATAATATCGACAAGTGTTGTCTATTTATTTTATGTACATTCTTTTCATAATGTCTGATAAGCTTAATAACATTATCATTAAACGAAGATAGAAAATCACAATATTGATCCATATTTTTTAATCCAATCTAAGCTTTTGGCTTACATAAGCCATTATCAAAGCTGTCAATTACAATATATTAAGCAATATACGGACAAGACAGTGATGATAATCTGTTGTTGTTTACATGAATGATTTCCAAGCAACGATAAACACGTTCATATAAGATGCTGGAAGCGAAAATCGCACCGCAGCTCATGACGTCACACATGACCACGGGAGAGTGAATTCGAGAAGTATTAAGTATGGGAAGCCGTTGGTATAAACCAATGGCTTCTGTTACCAATTATAGACATTTAAGGATATTTGTAGAGATTCCATAGTTGATTTTGTTTAGGTTAGGTTTCAACTGTTTGATGTATATAGCTTCAAGGATTTGTAGTTTTTGTCTATTGTTTTCATGTTGAAAATTGTGTTTTTGACAAGGATTTTACGGAATTGTGTGTGCGGCCAGGCATGTTGTTTTAAATGCCTAAAAATGTTGGATTTTTCATTCAAATGTAGTGTCAAGCGTCGTGAAAGCGAGTGTGTGGTGTGACCAACATAAATATTATTTAATTCGTTGGAGATACACTCTCCCAAAAGGCACTTGAATTTATAAACTATGTTGGTTTTTTGCAAATCACTAACCGGGGGAGAAGAATCATTGCGAAGAATTAAGTTGGATATACTAGATTTAGTGTAGTATATGATTAATTTAATTTATTTGCTAGGATCTGTAGTTGATATATTAGTATTTACTAAATTTTTTAGTATATTTTCATCTTGTTTATAATTAGAATGCATTTGATTACGTGTCCGTATATTGCTTAATATATTGTACAGTAAATGACATCTTTGATAATGGCTTATGTAAGACGAAAGCTTAGATTGGATAAAAAAATATGGATCAATATTGTGATTTTCTTTCTTCGTTTAATGATAATGTTATTAAGCTTATCAGACGATATGAAAAGAATTTACATAAAATAAATAGACAAAACTTGTCTAAATTATTTAATGAAACATGCATGAATATATATATATATATATATATATATATATATATGAAGAAATATAGTTTTAATATGTGCTTTATTTATGGGATAAAGTGCTCAATATCAGAGATAGAGTTTATGTAAATATAAAAGTGAACATTGAAGTCAACACCCAGAGGCGACAGGCTGTTTCATTGAGTGTTGACCTCAATGTTCACTTTTATATATATATATATGCTTTCGGACCATTCTGAAAATGAGATGACGATTTACCTTTAATTCGATACAAAAATCTTTAAAAGTATGTTAACAACTTTCGACATAAACTATTAATTATAAAGATACAGAATAAATTAACGGCTTTTGTAAAAGTCACTCATTTCTTCTTTACTCGCGAAAAACGCCAGCTTAGAGAAAAAGTATTATGATTCATTATTTAAGCATGCAAAAAAAAAAAAAAAAAAAAGAAATTCACAAACATTTCATTCTTTTAGGATCTGATTAAGCCTAGAAAGGCGAAACGCGTAATCAAATCTCGTTTCAATGAAACGTTTTCCGCTTGTTAAATTTCTTCAAAACTTTGTTGGAATTATATATCCTACTTTAAATACACACACACACACACACATATATATATATATATATATATATATATATATATATATATATATATATAACTAAAAACCTAGTGAGCCAGAACTTACCAAGCTTTATTTAGTGAGAGTTGGCTATTATTTTACAAAACAGACAACTCATACGAAATAACATATCTTCCACAACTAGAGACAGTATCTTGAAATATGCACAAAATATGTAGTATCTGTCTATATTGCTGAGATGAGGTATTATGTACACTATTTACATTATTCGGACTATTGTCCTCATCTTTGTCGCCATATTCATTACGATGTTTCGGCCGTTGTACGCTCCGGCCTTCTTCCTCAAGGATATATGGCACAGTGGATAAAGATGTTGGTTAGATCTAGTGACAGGACCCAAAGAGGGTGACTTCAATACCCGGTTAAGGTAGTGGAAAACTTGGAGAGAGAAATTAACATGAGATATCTGATAGCTGACATCCATTAAACATGGCACGTGGAAATAGAACAGTCTACCCCAGTGAGCGTAATAAAGGGTTCAGTTCGACATTCCAACCAACTGAAGAAGGCCAGAGCGTAAATCGGCCGAAACGTTGTAATAAATATGACGACAAAGATGAGGACAATAGTCAGAATAATGTAAATAGTGTACAAAATATTTAGTATAGTAATAAAACAATAATAAATAAATAAAATAACACCTTTTTTGTACGTTCTCACTCTCTTTAACCGTTGCAAAATAAGTTACCGTAGATTATTTAAAATATTCAAATTCTAAAGAATACCAGAATATAGCCAACAGGGTTTTGCTTACAACGCAGATCCACATGGTTCTTGAAAATAACTGTCGAAAGTACTTAGATAATAGATCAGAACAAACAAACATGAACATCGAACAGTTTATTCGGATTTTCGATCCCGATATATATCTTGTGGCTAGACGTCCGATTGCTTCAAGCCGGGATCGAAACCTGACTGATCTGACATCAGTCCGATCTCTTACCTCTAGGCAATCATCGTTTTTTCTCTATACGAAATACGCCATATATATATATATATATCATATAATGAAAATCCTTCATCTCAGAACATCAGATAAGTGAAAGCATTCGACTGAATAAGAAGAAAAAGATGAAGTTACTAGCCAAGAAAATGTGTGCAATAATGGAAACGCTACATCACAAATTCAGCAAGTTTTCAAAAAGTAAAAAAAATCTAAAAAATTCAACATTTTTTTAATCGAAATTATTGATATCGCTTTCGATTGTGTTGAATTTTTCGCGACCATTTAAAACTTTTCTGGAAACATCAAAAAATATCTAGACGGATCAACACGTATGTGGATCATTAGGTCATTAGTCGCTAAAGGGTGATCGATTATTTTGTTGCCCTCACTTTGTAGTCGGTTTTCTATCGCGTATGATCAATAACCATTTTAGATCTCTGAACGGCAGTCAAATAATTTCACAACGACACTGCTTATAGTATAGGAAACATTCATATATATATATATATATATATATATATATATATATATATATATATATATATATATATATGCAATCTTAATTCCTATTGTATGAAATATGCTGCTCTCTTTAATTAAAACATTGAGCTCTATGTGTGAATCAGTTTTAATATTGTATCAACAGGATTCACTTGGATTATATACCAACGGATTATTACCTATATATATATATATATATATATATATATATATATATATATATTATTGTTGTGAAAACGTTATTTGTAGTGGATAACCATATTTGAGTAGATGGTCTGTTTGCTTATTAAACATTACATTTATTTATTTATTTCCATCTTCCGGCCGCAGTATTCGAGAAATCTCATTAGAAAAATATGTGTTCTCCGGCATATTTTTCTAAAATTTATACAAAGGTTTGAGTAAAGTCGATTTAATATCGGGATCTGCTGCGTGCAAATATTAAAGAAAGCAAGGTGTTCTTCTCAATGAGAGCCTTACCGGTCAATGTTACACACAGTAAAGCAGGTCTTGTTGCCCACTTGCAAAAACATGTGGCAATTGATCCTCAACCACATGTTCTATCTGTCTAAAAGTTTGCAAAACACCTGCAGGCCTTGGTAGACACATGCGTGTCTATAAAAGTAGAGCACCTCTTTATTTTACTGAGCCCTCATTTGTCATCCATGATGAGAGAGTCCACCATATACATATATATGTGTGTGTGTGTGTGTGTGTGTGTTTGTATTGAGTGTATTTGGCTGGCAATTTTTTTATTTTTACACATTTAGTTGAAGAACGCCGAACACTTCAATCCTAGCACGTTTCGGATGACTGAGAAGGTGCTGCCACAGGGATGGAATTTCTGGAGACCAGCCTCCCTTTATTGCTAAGCCGTAAATAACTCGAATATTTCTTTACTTGAAATTATTGAAATGGTGAAGCTTCCTACACTACAGCCCGAGTAGACGGCAAAGAAAGTGAGACAGATACTACACTCTGATCTTAGGCAGAGTTTCATGTTGTGGCACTTTCATCCGAGGCAGAGAACAAAAGCACACAGATGCTAGGTAGAAGTATCGATCTGCGCAAATAATTCCGTCATTTTTTATGGGTAGTATGCTAATCTATTAAACAAGACTAAGTGTGTGAGAGAGAGAGGGGGGGAACAAAACTTCAAGCCGCAAACGAAATATGACCCACACGCCTTTCAATGTGTCCTGATTTGGCATCTCGACTTCAGTCACTTTCTCATCGACATGACGTCGATTCTGTCTGTCTTTTCTACAAATATTTTCATAACAATTGCTCTGATGAGTTTTCTTCCTTAGTGCTTCGACTGCATGAATTTAAACGTAGTACTAGATTGGCAATTCGGTCTCACCGTTTTACTACTGAACTAGCTAAATGCAACCGGTTGTTTCTTTTCTCGCACCTCTCGCCTATGGAAGTCCCTTCCGATTTCTTGCTTCCCTGCCAACTACAATCTTCAAAAATTTAAATGCAACGTCAATCGCCAGCTGCCTTCCTGGACCCTGTTCCTTTATAATCCTTTCCTCACTAATGTCTTCTCATTCTCTTTCACCCCGTGTAACCCCTGCG